GATTTATAGCAACACATTAAGTGACTTGCCTTTAGTGTATTAAAAACAGAAATATTGCAATCTTAACTAATTTTCAAAAATAAATCACCAAGGTGTACGGAAAACGTATTTGAATAGTAATAAAAATGAGAAGATCGAAAAACGAGGACTGCTTCTACTATGTACGGGTGTAAATCGAATTTAGCGGAGTAGTAATTTATTTGATCATATTCATTTACAGAAACAAAGGCTAATGCACAAATCTTTCAGCTTTATTGAGACATTTTTGTGGACATAGAGTAGCATGATGGGTAGCGTGTCCCAAATTGCGAATCTAATGATCCGGAGTTTCCATCCCGTTGCCAAAAACACGTGCTCCACCCTTAGCGGCCGTGAGTGCGTTACGAGTGACGTTCAAAGCCCACAGTTGGATTAGAGTAACCCAAGAGTTGGCGATGGGTGCTGTTGACTAGCTGCTTTTCGTCTAGTTTATATGGTTCAAAATTAGGAAAGGATACCGCGGATAGGCCTTGAATAGCTTTGCGCTAATATCCGCAAGATATCACAAGAAATAAGGCCCTTTTATTTTTAAAACACCTCGTATCAGTACTTAGGAAGAGCTATAGTACTAATTAAGCATCAGTGTGCAATTTCAATCTACATTTAAACGGAATAACTTAATGAGATACCTTTATTCACATATAGCGAAACATTATCCCAAAGTTTAGTCCTGACTTGGGTACAAGCATTATCTGGGTAGCAATTATGTTCAGATGCTGATCTTTTAATAAATTTTTAATATACGTTTGTCATAAAAAATGTCTAAATTTAATTGGTGAACCATATATAAGCTACAGACAACTGAAAGAGTAGTACATACATACATATATATAGTTTTGAATTTCATAAACTTCGAACTTTAAGATTCAAATGAAAGATAAAACGATTCTATTCCAAACATGTTAGATTTGTTTCACTCTCTGCACATGAATACACATCAACATAACAAAGCCTTTCACCCAACTTGAAAACTGGTGATAGCATTCATACTGCAACGTCAAGAGAGCTAGAGATCAGTGATCACGACGAACGCTATCAGGGTAAATAACCATTCTGAGAACAACCACGTGTCAAACAGTAAGACGCTATCAATGCCGTTTAAGGATAGATAAATAACCACAACCATGTGTTTTTCTTTGAGGTGGGTGAACAAAGTAGTCCTCAGGTGGATATCGTATTGATATTGATATTTGACTGCCTTAACATTACAATACGCTGTCTTCAAGCAAACCTTATATGGCCATACTACGCATACTCAAGCAAATCTTATATGGCCATACTACGCATACTCAAGCAAATCTTATATGGCCATACTTCGCATACTCAAGCAAACCTTATATGGACATACTGCGCATACTCAAGCAAATCTTATATGGCCATACTACGCATTTTCAAGCAAACCTTGTATGGCTATACTACGCATACTCATGGAAACTTTATATGGCCATACTACGCATTCTCAAGCAAACCTTATGTGGCCACACTACGCATTATTTACCTACAATAATAATGACATTTTCCTTTTACCATTAAACACACAATAAAAAGAAGCTCTTTGAAATGGTGATATCGTAACTTAACAATTTCTTATAT